ATGAGTAAACATAGCCAATGACAGCCGTTCAAAGAAGAATCGTGAGTCAAGAATAGTCAGTGTATGAGTAAACATAGCCAATGACAGCCGTTCAAAGAAGAATCGTGAGTCAAGAATAGTCAGTGTATGAGTAAACATAGCCATAGTAATATCAATAAAATATAAAACTAGACTAAGACGCCTTTATCACAAAATTAAAACGCTTTTATCGTTTGATTAAAATTCCTTTGTCGCTAGAATAAATGTCTTTAATCGCTACGCTACAGCGTATATTTCTTCCATCTGTTATATACACATTTACAAAGCATATTAAACCCGCGGTTGATATATTTAAGGTCACGTGTAGTGTTCATGTTTCTCCGCCAGGTTGAATAAGGTAATTTCATTAAATCTGTTTTGACTTCACTGCCGTCTATCTTATCGCACGATTTAATATACAATTTGTTGTTGTTGTGGCTAGAATATTTCTCAGTGACAAAACATGTGTCTTGATAGAGAGGGTTCGGATGTCACGTACTCTATTTAAATTATGATTTAAGATTAGTGCTAATATTGTTGTTCGGGCCAATCACGCCCAGTGGTTAGCGTGCCGGACTATAGATCAGAGGCTCCATGGTTCGCGTTACTTACAAAACAATATTAATGATACGAGTCAAAAATCACACTCTCTGGGCGCGTTATAAAAGTGGCGGTCAAATCCCATAACAAACAACAACAAATATGTTGTTTCATTTGATGACCACGACACGTACGAAATGCAGTATACATTGTCCAACCGTTATGTTAATATCTTGCTTGTCAAATAATACACTTACTGTTTCATATCTAAACGGCCCGGCATGGCCAGGTGGATAGGGGGCGCTTGACTCGCAATCTGAGGGTCGCGGGTTCGAATCCCCGTCACACCAAACATGTTCGCCCTTTCAGCCGTGGGGGCGTTATAATGTGACGGTCAATCCCACTATTCGTTGGTAAAAGAGTAGCCCAAGAGTTGGCGGTGGGTGGTGATGACTAGTTGCCTTCCCCCTAGTCTTACACTGCTAAATTAGGGACAGCTAGCGCAGATAGCCTTCGTGTAGCTTTGCGCGAAATTCAAAACAAACGAACAAACAAACATATCTAAACAGATGTTACAAGCGGTCTTCGATACGGAAAATGGCCTACTTTGTTGACCTAAGAGGAAAGGTTAAAATGTCTACCTTCTTGCACACTCTCAAGAACCAGGTGGCAGTTTTCAAACTTATATATCGTAAAATACTGCTGTATTTGGTAAAGTCTTGTTTCGGTAATATGGTAAGAATTAGACACAAAATGGAACGCAAATGATATTTTTGTTTATAGTAGTAGCAGCAAGTTACAGGACACAGTCAGTTTTTATCCACTTCGTACCGTGGTTTTACTAATATAACAATACAACAATGGTTTGCACCATCGGATACAACAATATCATAAAGGAAGCTTCACTATATGTTTAAAAGTTTCACGGCTATGGTCATATTTGGTCACATATTATTCTCTGTATTTGTTATGTTTCACTACTAACACAACTATATTGTTGTTTCCAAGGTAACTACCGTTTAGCGTTACTATAGTAGCTATTGTTTACTCTGTTCGTAGCAACAATCATTTAGCGTTACTGTAATATTTTTTTTTAATCTTATTTGAAACGTATCTACTATTTAACATAATTGCAATAGTATTTTGTTGTTGTTATTGTTTCCAATGTAACTATGGTTGTTTCCAAGGCAACTTACGTTTAACGTTATTGTTGTAATGGTACATTCTTTGTTATTATTTCAAACGTAACTACCGTTTAACGTTATTGTAATAATATATTTTGTTTTGTTTTTTTTAGATTTTTCATCCGCCATCTTGTGAAGACTCAGGTATTTTACTGGTTTGTTATTGTGTTAGTGTTTTTGAACACCGTCTGCGTCGCCATAGAACATTACAACCAGCCAAAATGGCTGACGAATTTTTTATGTAAGTATATATCTGTTTTTACCTTTCACGTGGTGTACTAGCTGATCTTATGACATGTGTTATACAAGAAATAAAAGTCCTTACAACAGGTGTTGTACAAGAAATAAAAGTACTTAAAACAAGTGTTATACAAGAAATAAAAGTCCTTACAACAGGTGTTGTACAAGAAATAAAAGTCCTTAAAACAAGTGTTATACAAGAAATAAAAGTCCTTAAAACAAGTGTTATACAAGAAATAAAAGTCCTTACAACAGGTGTTGTACAAGAAATAAAAGTCCTTAAAACAAGTGTTATACAAGAAATAAAAGTCCTTAAAACAGGTGTTGTACAAGAAATAAAAGTCCTTTCGACAAATGTTATACAAGAAATAAAAGTCCTTACAACAGCTGTTGTACAAGAAATAAAAGTACTTTCGACAAGTGTCATACAAGAAATAAAAGTCCTTACAACAGGTGTTGTACAAGAAATAAAAGTCCTTAAAACAAGTGTTATACAAGAAATAAAAGTCCTTAAAACAAGTGTTATACAAGAAATAAAAGTCCTTACAACAGGTGTTGTACAAGAAATAAAAGTCCTTTCGACAAATGTTATACAAGAAATAAAAGTCCTTACAACAGCTGTTGTACAAGAAATAAAAGTACTTTCGACAAGTGTTATACAAGAAATAAAAGTCCTTACAACAGGTGTTGTACAAGAAATAAAAGTCCTTTCGACAAGTGTTGTACAAGAAATAAAAGTCCTTACAACAAGTGTTGTACAAGAAATAAAAGTCCTTACAACAAGTGTTATACAAGAAATAAAAGTCCTTACAACAAGTGCTCGTTTTATGTCAGAAGAACTTCTCTTTTGATGTGAAAGTTAGATTTTTTTAAAAGTGTAGTTTTACGTTATTTATTTAACAATCAGGTTTGTCTGTTGTCTAAAGTTTTGATATTTTAAATATTTTAGAGAGGGATGGTTATTCTTTTAAATTATCTTAACTCTTAAATATAAAAATTCATTTGGGTTCTTATTATAAACCCGTGAAAAATAATATGCGGGAGGCGCCACCTAGGGGAGAACGGAACTATGACTACATAAATTATACCTGAAAGTACAAATTTATAAATAAAGAAGTTTTAAATAAACTACTGTACAAATATTAAGTACAATGAACATCTAAAAATGACGTGTACAGTATATACACAAATATATATTTATAAGGGGTGCGGGGGGAGGCGCAACAAAACACATGTTCAGAAAGAGAAGGGCACTGTAAAAATGTTTGCACGGCACTGTTTTAGTGTTGTCAAAATAGAAGTAATGTTTGTTATTCAGATATCTGTATTATACCCTCAAAATTACCATGTCATTGAACTGCTTCTATGAATTCTGATTGACAAAATTAATATATATATATATGATAATTTTATCTTATCTACATCGTGACGCTTTGTGTTAAGGCTTCTAATATCTGCCTTTTACTGTTTCATTTGTTTGGTTGTTTTTTTTTTTCAGATTGGGCTGAATTTGTTTTCTTGGGACTCTTTATATTCGAAATGTTTATGAAGATGTACGCTTTAGGCCCCCGCATTTATTTCGAGTCATCCTTCAATAAGTTCGACTGTGTAGTAAGTACTGCCTTTGTTGTCTCAGGGGGTATCGGGGGGGGGGGGGTGCATCTACCGACTACCTCAATATTCTAGAAAAGGATAAGGTAAATCACTTAATTTTTATGTGTATAAGAAACTGTCCAAATTTTTTGGTATGGGGGGTGGGGATTCTCCCCACTCTGTAGTCTAATTTCGATGTTTTGAAACACCTTTTCCAAGTTTTTTTGATGACAACGTTCTGATGTTATTATTAAACGTGGAATACAAACAATTGCAATTTTATACCTGTCCGTAAATGTTGCTATGGAATAAAAAAAATGTTGTTTTGTTTTTTGTTATAGGTCATAGCAGGGAGCATATTTGAGGTTGTGTGGTCCAGTATTCGGGAAGGGTCCTTTGGATTTTCAGTTCTCAGAGCGTTGAGGTTACTGAGGATATTCAAAGTCACAAAGTAAGTCTGATAACGTACGTGACGAGTGTAGGATGTATGAAAGTAAGTCTGCTAATATACTTGACGAGTTTACGATGTATATAAGTAAGTCTGCTAATATAATTGACAAGTGTAGGATGTATATAAGTAAGTCTGCTAATATACTTGACGAGTTTAGGATGTATATAAGTAAGTCTGCTAATATAGTTGACAAGTGTAGGATGTATGTATGTAAGTCTGCTAATATACTTGACGAGTTTAGCATGTATATAAGTAAGTCTGCTAATATAGTTGACGAGTTTAGGATGTATATAAGTAAGTCAGCTAATACACTTGACGAGTCTAGAATGTATGTATGTAAGTCTGCTAATATACTTGACGAGTGTAGGATGTATGAAAGTAAGTCTGTTAATATACTTGACGAGTTTAGCATGTATATAAGTAAGTCTGCTAATATAGTTGACGAGTTTAAGATGTACATAAGTAAGTCTGCTAATACACTTGACGAGTTTAGGATGTATATAAGTAAGTCTGCTAATATACTTGACGAGTTTAAGATGTACATAAGTAAGTCTGCTAATATAGTTGACGAGTTTAGGATGTATATAAGTAAGTCTGCTAATATAACTGACAAGTGTAGCATTATATGTAAATAATACTGTCTTATTTATGTTTTCATAGTATTTGTATCTACGTGGTATCCACTATGATTTTGTTTAATTCATTCATACCTAGAGACTAAGTAGTGTTATCCAAATGGTGAGTCCATCCGTCCTCCCAGCATTGGCAGGATCCCTTAGTTAAAACTATAGTTTTTTAAATAAAGTAAAAAAAAATAACTTAGTCCATATTTTAAAGAGGCAAACAATTACTCGTGTACGACTCGCATCATTCATGAAGTTTCTCCAAACGTTTTGTGAACGGATATTATATGTTCCAGCATTTGAACAGAACTGTAGAGTTTAGGATCTATACTGTTTATTAGAAAACTACTCCCCACCATCACTAGTTTGAAGTCTACTATGCAGAAATGTTAACGGATTCAGTGTACCTATAAGTTTGGTGTAAGTCTAACTTGATTATGACTTTACTAAGCCTAACTTGATTATGACTTTACTAAGCCTAATTTACCTCAAAACTGCGTCTTATTTGAGGTTTGTGTGTGTGTGTGTGTGTCTTAGTAAAGTCATAATCAAATTAGGCTTAGTAAAGTCATAATCAAGTTAGGCTTAGTAAAGTCATAATCAAATTAGACTTAGTAAAGTCATAATCAAGTTAGGCTTAGTAAAGTCATAATCAAATTAGGCTTAGTAAAGTCATAATCATGTTTAATTAATCATATTAGTTATACTAATTCGAATATAAAAACTTTCAAAATAAAGTTATGACATATTTAATTGTCGACCCAAAGCTGGTAGGCCTCATTTCCGTCCTTTTAGTAACAACTGTAATTTTATAATTTAATGGATATATGTTTTCCAGTTTTGAGCAGCTGTTGGTATGGAGTCTTCAGCAAGCTCCATATTTTTGTGATAAAAGAAGGTTTCTACTAAAAGTATAAACATTGGCCTCAATTTGAAATGTTCATACGGGTACTCCAAATTTGTTTTCTAATAAATATGTAGACAAAAGAGGGCGACAAAAACGTTTAGTATGTATCATTATGTTTCATCCGGGGAACTAAGTTGTTACATTAGTTCAACACACATTAGGTATGTATATTAGTTTTAACGACTCGATTCTTCCTACGCAGGTACTGGTCATCTCTTCGAAATTTAGTGATTTCCCTCCTCAGTAGCATGCGGTCCATCATCAGCCTTCTCTTCTTGCTCTTCCTTTTCATCCTCATCTTCGCTCTCCTAGGAATGCAACTATTCGGTGGAGCGTAAGTTTGCCCCTTTTTTTTCAGTGAGGTACCTCCAATTTGTGTCACAATTTCAAATAATAAATCACACTGGATGATTTGTTTTGAACAAGAACTATTGATCACAATCGAATTAACAAGCATACTGATAATTAGTTAGTCTGTGACACAATGTATTACTATAGGTGTTTGTATTTCTTTAACAGCTTCAACTTCCATGATGGAACTCCTCCTGCGAATTTCAATACATTTCCTATTGCTTTGCTCACCGTGTTTCAGGTAAGACTTCCAACACTTTTTATGTTGTTTTGTCCACCGTGTTTCATGTAAGACTTCCAACACTTTTTATGTTGTTTTGTCCACCGTGTTTCAGGTAAGACTTCCAACACTTTTCCTACTGCTTTGTCTACTGTGTTTTAGGTAAGACTTCCAACAGATTTCCTACTGCTTTGTCCACTGTGTTTCAGGTAAGACTTCCAACACTTTTCCTACTGCTTTGTCCACTGTGTTTCAGGTAAGACTTCCAACACTTTTCCTACTGCTTTGTCTGTGTTGGAAGTCTTACCTGAAACACAGTGGACAAAGCAGTAGGCAAAAGTGTTGGAAGTCTTACCTGAAACACAGTTTTTCCTACTGCTTTGTCCACCGTGTTTCAAGTAAGACGTTTTAATTATTTGTGTTGACACATTATAGGCCTAAATTTACCAATTTAAGGAAATCCATTTTCCTAGAAATATTATAATCAAAAAATTCTACATCATTTCCAATAAGGCCGTTTTATTTAAGTTCAGTGGTTTAAGTTAAGACTTATTAACTGACTGTGATTCGAATATTCTTTGTAGGACTTCATTATTTAAATCAGAAAATTAAAGTTTCAGAGAAGGAAAAAAAAAATTTCAAAATCGAAAGAGTAATCAATTTTAAATTAATTAATTTTGATACAAAAACACATCGAGGAAATAAATAAATTGGTATAGTGACTGATTAACAAAGAAATTTAAAAAAAAATTAAATTAAAAGCAGTATTTACATTAAGTAGCTCAAGTACAGTGTTTTTTTTTTTTAATCCCGTGTTTCTGAAAGTGCGTTGATTAGAAAATGCTTAATTTAGAGCCGAAAAAATCATTGTTTTTTGAATAAGTCCATCATTAAAAAAATGATGGACCCAATAACAATGTTTTTCCTTGACATTTTAAAAGGGCGCTCGGCTCGCAATCTGCGGGTTCGAATCCCCGTCACACCAAACATGCTCGCCCTTTCAGCCGTTGGGGCGTTATAATGTGACGGACAATCCCACTATTCGTTGGTAAAAAGAATAGCCCACTCGCCCTTTCAGCCGTTGGGGCGTTATAATGTGACGGACAATCCCACTATTTGTTGGTGAAAAGAGTAGCCCAAGAGTTGGCGGTGGGTGGTGATGACTAACTGCCTTTCCTTTAGTCTTACACTGCTAAATTAGGGACGGCTAGCGCAGATTTAAGAGAAAAAATAAAATGGGGTTTCTTGTCAAATTTTATGTCGTTTATCATTCATTTTAGCTACTCTAAATTTTATGTCGTTTATCGTTCATTTTAGCTACCCTAAATTTTATGTCGTTTATCGTTCATTTTAGCTACCCTAAATTTTATGTCGTTTATCGTTCATTTTAGTTACCCTAAATTTTATGTCGTTTATCGTTCATTTTAGTTACCCTAAATTTTATGTCGTTTATCGTTCATTTTAGTTACCCTAAATTTTATGTCGTTTATCGTTCATTTTTAGTTACCCTAAATTTTACGTTGTTTATCGTTCATTTTAGTTACCCTAAATTTTACGTCGTTTATCGTTCATTTTAGTTACCCTAGATTTTACGTC